TGCTTATCAAGTTGCAGTGCCTGGTACTGGAGAAACATTAGCAGCTGAATCAGAATTTGATTGTGAATTTCCTTTTTTCTGGTTGATTAAGGAAGCCATTGAATCTAAATGGGAATCTGTAAGAAGTTTATTAGGTAAATATTAAAGTAGTATATTATTGTATTAATTAACATCATTATTATTGCCATTAGATGATCATCGTCAAAATGTGCATGTTGGACTGTGTGACATGTTACATGATGATCCAGTTGCTAATGTATTAATGAGAGTACCAGAAGAACATTGGTCAGAATTGTGCCTATTATATCTTAATGATGTCCTAAGGAGTGTGCATATGGTTCCTCATCATAAAGCTTCTGATGAATATGAGGTAAAGTACTATTGTAGTTTTTCTCAGAGTACATTTTTATTTTCATGTAGATATTAAAAAATGCTCTTAATGCTCTAATTAATGGTCCTGATCTCTCTCCACACAAATCCCTTCTTTCCTTTCTTGCAGCAGTTCATGTTGTATACAATGAGTATGAAAAGGAAATTGTGTGGTTTGGACAACTGACAGCACAAATTCCAGGAATATTACTTCAGCTAGCTCGAGAAGGTCATTTTTCAGTTATGTTACTAATAATGTACCATTTATTTTTATTAGATTTTTGTGACTGCCAATACTTTAAGCTACCATTGTATGCAGTTAGAGTTTCTATTAGTCTTGATAACCTTGCCTTGCCCCTTTCACCTGACACGAGAGAATACGTTTGTCAAAGACTAGTCAAATTGCAATTGTGCCAAAACTCAATTGATTCTATATTAACTCTTGCACCAAATAATGAATTTACTCAAGAAATCAGGTATAAGAATCACTCCAATATTTAACATTTAATAATTATTTTAGGACAACATGGCAACGTGTAAGAGCTGTCCAGCTTTTTATTGAGCATGTAGCCTTAAAATGCTCACATGATCAGGATGATGAAAAGTTTATCGCGTTTGTGCAGTATGCTATCAGAATCAATGTTGTGAGTACTTAAATGAGACTTTGAATATAATGAAACTTGATTGCAAATAATTTAACACACAAAATATTTTTTATATAAATAATAATGTTGAAAACACAAACAACAACTTGAAATTTTTTTACCAATTAATTTTTAACATAAAAATTTCCTGTTCTTTTTTTTAGCGTCTGAAATGTGAGTTTGTGAAAAAAGAAGCTATTATAAATGTTGAGAAAGTTTTACGAACTGTGGACAGAGAAGCTAAATCAAAGCTAAAATTTTCGTTAGTGCTATAATTTTTAAATTTTATGTTGTTTGATACATGTATTTTTAGTGGAAAAATGAAGGAAATGCTTCGAGAGTGTTGCAAATCCTATTTTATGGAAGTTGTTTCTTCTCTATGTTTTGGTCAAGCCACTCCACCTGAGCCTGATCTTATTAGTGAGCTGTTAAATATTGTTATTACAGAACAGAATAAGACTAAAGAGTTCACTTACTCTGAGGAGGAAAAAGCTGATAAAGTTCCTGTCATACGAACCTTTTTACTACAGCTACTACTCGAACACAAGTAAAGGGACTTATAATTATTTTAATATTAGCATTATACTTTAAGTATGGAGGAAGTGAAACAACATTTAAGTTCTTACTTTGAGAAAGCTCAGCACCTGATTCAAAATGATCATAACTTGTGTCTATTATGTATCCAGTGCTTAGAGGTTTGCTTATAATTCAATTAGATTACCTTTTATACTCTAATTTTTAGGATGCCATTTACAAGCAGCATGGTCAATTTTCTCTTCAAATGAAAGTGGAAAAGGCTCTTTCTACAATTGAGCAGGGAAAGAAATTAATCAGTGGTAGCGAGACCCCTTATCCAGGAGAAGTAATCAGTTTGGAATATTTGGAAGGAGTCTCAATGTTACGATTCTCGCTGTCTGTCATAGCTGAGCTTATTTATTACCAGTATAGCAACAAAGAGACTGAAGGAATAACATACACTCACCATTCACAGCTCCTCTTAAACAAAGCTAAGGAATGTTGCAGTGATGATCATTTAAATGAGGATGACACTGGACCTGGTGTGTTCCTTCTCAAACAACTAGGAAAGCAATATGGAGTTGCTTTCCTCACTAACCTTACTTCTGATCCTACTATGCAGTGGGTAGTACCCCGAAGCTTACGCCAATCAGATCATGTAAGTATACCTTCTGTTTTATCATACATGAAAGCATTATAGGAAGATACTCATCAAGTCAATGATCCTTTTGTAATTTATGATGGTTATGACAAATTTCAAACAATCCTGACCGATGCAGTGTATGGAAAGGACTTGACACAACTACAAGCAACTATCCAAGTAACATAACTTCATCTTCTTCCTGATGTAAAGGTTTTAATGTACAGAGTCTTTCTACTGCAGATGTGGTTCCATTACTGGTAGGAACTTATCAAGTTATATCTGGTAGTGCTGTGTTTACTGCTGAGTCTAAAATAATTTCAGTGAGATTTTAAACTAATTTTTTTTACAAAATAATCATTTAATGTTATAGGACACCATTAAAAAAGAAGTGTTAGCTACTATTAGACAATGTAACGGACTTAAAAAAGAAGTGAGTGCATATTACATGTAATATGCAATTAGTTCTATTTTATGATTGCTTGCAGCTTTTATTGATAGCTCAGCATCTCATAGAGGATAATACTTATCATAGTAGACTGGAGGTCATGACTCTTAGACCAGGAATGAGCCCACAGAATAGATTACTGACTGATCTTGTTACTCATGTAGCCATAGCTGTACAATGTACATCAAATAAATTACTTACACCATTCATTGAAATGATAAGTCGTCCAGGAGATTTAAAAGTAAACTAACTGTATAATATTTACCATTGTGCATACAATAATGCTTATTAGGATTGTTTTTTGCCTACAATGCCAGACGATTCTCTTCCTGATGTTAGGAATGCTGTTGGTGCTGGACAGTTTTATGGTATAAATAATTAAGTTCATAATTTTATTGTATTTTATGTTAATTAATTTTTAGAATGTCCAAGAGGACATCCTTATTTTGTGTCTGAGGTAAAACCTTAGCTTTAATAATCATTGTAATTATTTTTATCCGTAACAGTGTGGTAGACCACTTCAACAATATACTTGTCCGATTTGTCACTCACGTATTGGTGGTCAAAATCATACACTTGAATCAACAAATAGGATTGCTAGGACGTAAGTAATTTGTATAAAACATTTTGTTCCTATTGTATTGTTAACTGCATTCTAAGGACTGATATAACTGAAACTGGTTATGCTCTTGGTCAACCACATCAAAGAGAAAGCATGCCATCAACTGAAAGGTCATTATCTGTTCCAGCCTGTGCTATTATTAGAGCACTAATGCACTCTTCATTACTTTGGACTTCATGTACTAATGAGGTATATTTTTGTGTATCATTTATTTTATGATAGTTCCTTAACTGTATAGCACTCAATGAATAATTTATTGGATTTGATCAAGACACCAGTTGCCCCAAATAATGTGTCATTGTTTTTTTGGCAGCATCTATCTTATGACATTAAAATGTTAAGTGCCTCACTAGGCAAGAGTCAAGATGATGCTTGTCTTATATTGCATATACTGTTAAAGAACATTGCCACTTTGAATCCTAGAGGAGGTAAGCTCAGTATTGTAATTGCTTATTTATTTCTATCCTTTTACTATAGGAAATGCAACAAACCTTAGTTCAAAGGAACACAGACGTGAATGGGAAAAGTCATTTCATGACTTATATATTAAACCTGTACTGACAGTAAGTTTTGTTTTATATTATGTATGTATTTATATTTTGTTTCAGAATTTAGATGCCAACCTTCATAAAGTAACTGATTTAATCTTAAATCACAAAAAAGAAGGTAGCTAATGATTTGGTGCAATTGTTGTTATTTTTAATTAAGAACGTGATCGATTGTTTTATGTGATTCATGAGAGAGTACAGATACCACCTAATGTTATTGTGCCTCATTTGTGGAGTTATCATTCACGCATTACACTCAAAAATGTGCTGCAAGTACTACAAGCAGAAAAAGAAACTTATCCAATATTATATGAGTTTTTGATACAGGTGAGGCATTGAAAGTTATGGTACTAACATTTAAATATATTTTTAGGATCAGTTTCTAAGAGCTACACAATACCTTCCATCTATTATTAAATTGCAGCAGCAAATGTATAAAATGAGTCATAAAAAGTTGGACAAGAAAGAAGCAACACAATGGACAATCAGAGACTACCTTAAAGGCTTTAGGCAGCCACGAGGTACATTTCAATTTCTGTTGTTTGATCTGTATGTGCAATGGCCAAAGTTTATCACAGAATTTTGGCATAGTCCTCATGCAGCTTCTTGTCAGTGGATTGTAAAATTGCTTAAGAAATTGGACCCAAGCCCTGTACTATGGTAAAAATAGTGCAAGATATTTTGACTAAAATCGCAATGAGAGAATTTTTCTATTTTAGAATTTTTTCTGATGCACATACATGTCCTTATGTTGTGTATCAACTTGACTTATTCACATCAAAATTAAATTTTTATTTATTTTTAAAGCTGCTCAAAAATTGGTCCAAAGTCTTTTTGTACTATGTGTACTACAGGAATTTTAACCAAAATAATTATGAAAATCTAAGATGCAAAAATCTTCCATTTAAAATTTTTTTTCAACGCACATACATGTAGTTATGTTGTGTAGAAAGACTGAACTAATTCTGATCAAGTTTGGATTTTTTTAGGATTTTAAAAATTGCTTAAAAATTGAGCCAAAGTACATGTACCTGCCATTTGTTAAAACAGGCCAATTTTTGAAAAATGTCCAAGGCTATATTATAGCCCATGGTTTGTCCCAAAAAATGGCTAAAAAGTCACCCTCAATTTTTAGCACATTTTCCAATACATATTGATATTCTTATGCTGTGTAGAAAGTTTGAGTCAATTCTAACTTCAATTTTTCAAGTTATAACCATTTTTAAAATTTTTATAGCCCATGGTTGTTTCGAAAAACGGGCTCTGAAATCACTCAAATTTTTATTACATTTTCTGATACATATTGATGTCCTATTGTCCTTATGCTATGTAGAAAGTTTGAGCTAATTCTGACTTACAATTTTCAAGTTATGACTATTTTAGGAAATTTGCCTAAATCTGATAAATACCCTGTACTATAGCCCATGGTATTTTCCGAAAAATGGCTAAAAATTACCTCCAATTTTTATTACATTTTCCGATACATATTGATGTCCTTATGTTGTGTAGAAAGTTTAAGTTGATTCCAACTTAATTTTTTCAAGTTATGACCATTTAAAAAAATCAGCCATTTTTCAAAAGATTCCCTGTACTATATAGCACATGGTATTTTCTGAAAAATGGCTAAAAAATTGCCCCAAATTTTTATTACAATTTCCGATACATGTTGATGTCCTTATGTTGTGTAGAAAGTTTAAGTTGATTCCGACTTAATTTTTTTCAAGTTATGACCATTTTAAAAAGTCAGCCATTTTTCAAAAGATTCCCTGTACTATAGCACATGGTATTTTCCAAAAAATGGCTAAAAAATCACCCCCAATTTTTGTTACATTTTTTGATACATATTGATGTCCTTATGTTGTGTAGAAAGTTTAAGTTAATTCCGACTTGATTTTTTTCAAGTTATGACCATTTTAAAAAATCAGCCATTTTTCAAAAGATTCCCTGTACTATAGCACATAGTATTTTCCGAAAAATGGCTAAAAAATCACCCCCAATTTTTGTTACATTTTTTGATGCATATTGATGTCCTTATGTTGTGTAGAAAGTTTAAGTTGATTCCAACTTGATTTTTTTCAAGTTATGACCATTTAAAAAAATCAGCCATTTTTCAAAAGATTCCCTGTACTATAGCACATGGTATTTTCCGAAAAATGGCTAAAAAATCACCCCCAATTTTTGTTACATTTTTTGATGCATATTGATGTCCTTATGTTGTGTAGAAAGTTTAAGTTGATTCCGACTTAATTTTTTCAAGTTATGACCATTTTAAAAAAATCAGCCATTTTTCAAAATGGCTGATTTTAGCCATTTTTAGAGTTATACGGAAAAAAATATACATGTACTATGTTGTGTACATAGTAATTTAGAAATTAATTTTAACAAATTTGACAGACTACATGTACCCTGTACTAGCTTTTTCATTAAAAATAGCAGTTATACACTGAATTAATCAAAATAATTTTTATTGAATTTTAAAGCTGCTCAAAGAGTTGGCCAATGTTTACAGGCATCTAAAATTAAATTTTTATTTCTGAGTAGAATTATTTTCATTGCTTTCTCATTTTCTCAGGAACTCAAGGTGAAAACAAGAGGAATCAGTTTCAAGACCGCCTGAACTGTGTCATAAAAGCTTGGAATCTTGTTAAAGAAAGACTAAAAGATGGTACAAAAATTGATTTATTGATTTTACCCTTGTATGCGTATGCCTATAGCTCATGTTCACGTTGATCCTAATATTATACAATCATTGTCATGGGATGAAAAAACTCCTCTCTCTTATCTGATACCAACCTTAACTGGTGATGGAGCCTGTACTGTAGCACTAGTGGGCTTGCTAGTTGGAATACATAATGATTTTTTGGAAAAATGCCACTCACAATTAGAGACTAAACTGAAGAAAAAGTAAGTCGTTGTCTTATTTTTAATATTTTATGACTATTTGCAGTAAAAGTAAAATGTGTAAAGTCCCAGCCAGTCAGATTCAGTTATGTCATCTATTGGACTATGAACATCAGATTCTATCAATTGTTCTGTCCCACTGCCACTACTCACTGAAGCATGGAAAGGGTCATGATGTGAACTATGATTTTGCTGCACTTGAGAAACACATTGTTGATAGGTTTATTCATGGGAAGCCATACATACAGTTGGAATTTCCTCAAGTTGTGTACAGAAAAGATGTTTATACTGCTGAGGCTTTTGCTAACATAAGGAAAAATGTACAACCTCAGGTACATGTGCATGCATGCTACATTTTTCTTAATTTCAATGATTTTATTATAGAGACAACTGACTGTAAAACAACAAACAGACATTGTTCATGAGCTACACAGCATGAAGCATCTGAGAGAATGTCTTGATGTGGTAGAGATTGTGATTGGTTTTCTTTCTTCTGGTAAGAGCAGTTCTAAGACAGAATTGAAGACGTACATTAAGAGAGTAGTAAGGATTGATGAAAAGAGATTCACCAGCAAGAAGGTATGAACTAAAACAAAAAACACTTCGTGAACCCAAATGTCTATATTAAAATAAAGTTTATACACACTTCATATTCAAGCATAAAAAATTTTAAATTACCTTAAAGCCACTATTATTTGCAAGTACTAATTTTTGCATTTTTGTGAGTGGCGTTAATATTGAAAAAATTAATATTCACCTTTATTAATAGTTATTAATGGAAAAAATAGCAAAATGCAAAAATTAGTACACGCTAAATTGATACCATTAATAAATTGCAAATATTTGTCTACTTTAAAATAAGTGGCTTTAAGGTAGCATTTACAGTAATTAATGCATTTTTTATGCAAAAAAACAAAGCTGTTAATTATTTTAATGAAGTTTTATCTTTATTTTATTCTAGGCAATGGAATACTGTACTCTTGGCCACATATTGTCACTATGGGAAACACTCTCTGTCCAAATGGCAAAATGTCTCACGATTCGAAGCCAAGTAAATTTACTACTGCATTAGTATATAGTAAAAATCCATTAAAATCACAAAATTTCAATAGTTGTTTTGGGTAGCATGACACTAAAGTTTATATTTGCCAGTAAACAAAGTTCCCAAACTAAAGGCTTTAGTTTAAAAAACTGTAACTGTGATATTTTTTTAAATTCATTATAAATAGGAAGCTTTTGATTCCTTTGGTGAAGAATTGATGAAAAACCTCTCAAAAGACCAAGTGGAAAAATTAAAGTCATATTTGAAAGGAATAGATGTTCCTCCTTTTCTTAATCTCTTATACGAGTTTATTGAAACGACTGTTCGTCATTATGAATCAAATCACATTGACATAACTTGGTCGTAAGTTAGTTTATTTATTAATTTATAGCTCTATGATGTTATAGTTTGAGTGACACTTTATACCTTCATTTGGAAAATTCTGAGTTGGAATATTTACTTCCCGAAGATTTTCAGAAGAAATTTCCAAAGTCAATTACTGTAGATCAGACAGTGGAAGTATGGAAAACTATTGTTATGTTTCAGTATGATTACGAACAAAAAATAGCATAGTTATTGACTTTTTGTAGCAATTTTTCATTTAATTTATTTGTGTAGATCTAATTTTTTTGTTTTAGCTGAAATAATGATAATTTTTAAAATAATAATATTTTTTAATTGCTTCCCAGTGCTTCATTCTTGCATAATGATGCATAATAAATAATAGTCCCAAGGAGGTAGCTCATAAAATTGTTTTGTATTGTGCTTTGTTAACATAGTTAGGAAGATACTATATAGTATACAGAAAATGCTTATGCTGAAGAGTGGTTATTGGCTAATCCTTCTCCAGCCGAACTGCACCCTCCCTAAACCGGAAGAATTTTCTTTGCAACCGGAAAAGGTGTTACCCAAGAAAATGGCTGAACTTAGGTTGTACTTTGTTTTTAGCTGGAAATCTTTACTGGACCACTATTAAAGCTACTTTATGCTATCATTTTGATTACTTCAAGATCATAGATAAAATACTTTTAATGGAGAGTCAAAGTTCTATGTTCTATGGCAATAAAAGGACCATGTGTGACATTGCTAAATGGAAAGGAAAAGCAAGAAAGCTATTATTTCTATACCCGTAAGTGGGACAATGAATGTTTAGTTTTATAGTGTTATAATGATGGTTGTGGGACACAATGAACATGATAAAATGAATTATATGGCTAAGTACCAAGTTTGTAGTACAAATGAAAATTACAGTATTACGTTAGCTATCACTTGTCATGTATTAGTAGTCCATGTTGTTTAACCATGGGCCACAGTATGATGCAAATGTGTTGCTAGACTTATTCTCTACAT